ATTTCACCTCGATTCTTCCAGGGCTGATGAAAAGCAAATGTGAACCAAGTCATGAACTGCAACATTGGAAAAGAATCACTGAATCTAATGGCGGGAGTTAATTAATGCTTCCCTCCCCTGAAGCAGGTTGACCCTGGTCCTCAGGCATCCCAGTCAATAAACAATTGTTGTACACAGATCATCCATTAGAAGGGGACGGCATGAAGGTTTTTAAGCAAATCTGAAATTGCAAGGGGTGACTTAATCCCGCCACAGTAATGGGAGTGTGAAGGAATCATTTTTCATAGCATCTCATTTATAAGAAGTTCCAGGCCATCTGCTTAGAAAAAAATGGAAGCCATGAGGCACAATTGGGATAAATATGGGATGATAGCGTTCTGTTCTTAAGCAAACCAGGCTATCTCTGCTGTCTCTCGGTGACTATTGACTATTTTGGTTGGGCTGCCACTGATCTTAATGGCATAATAACATAAGCATTGAGTGATTACTAAACCCAGACCAGGTGGGACTCACTGACCACTTGTGACATGGTACCACCCTCCCCAGATCACAAAGAGGTTAAGCCATTTGCCAGACTCACAGTGACAACTCTGATCTCAGGAAAGAGGGTTCATAAGAGCTAGCACCTCCTTGAAGCCCTGGGCATGCCAGGCACTGTCTCAGTCCCTTCATTTGCACATGAACTTCGTGACTCCTCATGACCTCCTCAAGCTACTGTCAGATCATTATGTGAAAGGGTGCATCAAGCAGAAGCAGAACAGACCAACAAAGTCTGCACCTAGAAGCTTCTACAGACACTCAGGACTCAGAGATTTGGGGAAATCAGATAAATGTTAACAGGATAGATGGAGGTGGGGCATAAAGGGAACTAGTCTCTGTTGTAGGAGGATTTAGGCCTGGTAACAGGAAGAATGTGTGTCTGCAGGGTTCTGGAGGTTTATGGAGAATGGCACTGCTTGGGGCCAAGCTGCAACAAGGCGTTTTCGGGGGCCATTCTGCCTTGCCCTTGTTCACAAGACAGAAACAAATGGATCCTTTAGCCCCTTTCCTGGAGTCTCCAGCCTGCTGTGGAATCTATGAGAATCTCTCTGGGTCTCAGGGTAGTGTCTTCCTTTCCCTGACAACCTCTGACAGTGGCCTCGAAACACAGGAGCAGCCGTAGGTGCCCTTGAGGAAATCATCCCATCAGGCCTGCCTTCACACCGGCTGTTCAGCTGCGACTCTCCGTGGCTCTCCCTGCAGTCTTCACGGCAGTCATTACAACCCGCCTCGCCGTCTCTCCCTCTTTATGGTTGTCAAATTGATTTCACCACCTCGATACCTAGGGCTCCCAATGAAACTTAATTAAAAATACCATTTAATCACAGAGTAACAAAGGCAAACTGGATAAGCGGCATTACCACTTCAGCGCCTTTTAATCCTGCCGCTTCGCTCCATCTGAACCTGTTTGGATGAGAATTGCCTTTTCAAATCAGAAACCCCTTGTCTTCCATGTGCTCGCCTCTGACAGATCTCCAGAATAAGCAGTATTTAGTGTGGCATGGATCCAAATGTATGCAATTTGCCCAGTGGTAAAATCAGCCTTACCTAGAGCAGGCAAAAAAAAAAAAAAAAGTTGCATGTTGCATTAGAAAATACCTTCCTGCAAATGCACACAAAGCCACTCCCCAGCACGAGCAATTTCATATCTGGTCTCCCTCCATTCACTCACTTAGTGATGCATTTGGAAGCTTATTACTAAAATTGTGTCATATGCCATGACCCTGCTCTCCTCTGTCTAGAAAACCCTGCTAGTAGGCTGGAGGCCGCCAGTGAGAGCAGGAATGGACGGCTGTTGCACGTACATGGGTGTTGTTTTAGAGGAGACTCTGAACACTGGAGGAGCCATGGTCCTGCTGGTGGGCTCCTTCCCACCATGTGGAAGACCCTTAGGCATCCAGGCATTAGCCACAGTGAATGTCGAAAGCATGAAAATATCTCATTACATTGCCCTGTGCCCTCTCTGTGTAAAGCGACACAGCTTGCAGCTCTGTTCCAGTTGGAACAGCAAGACTCTTCCTGGAATTCTCTGCCTAGCCCAGGAAGGCCCTTTTCCTTTCTTGAAATCCTCTTTTGAAGGACTCCCCAGCCTCCAGAACTTTGTGTCTGCTGTCCCCTCTCCTGGACATGGTCCCTGGCTCATATACCAACTTCTATAGTACTGGTCACCAGCTTCCCGTTCATGTCACTGACCAACTGGTTCTCTTCCAAGCATAACTATCTAGAATGATCTCATCAGAGTGCTGGTTTACTGTCACCCTGTGAGAGTCTAAGTTCTCCTGGGCCTTTATTAACCTGGGAGCTTCTGGAAGACAGAGATCCAGCCTAGGATCTGATCTAGGACTCCCTACATGGCTGGTGCCTAGAAAGAGAAGGTCAGAGGCCCCCAGTGCAAAGGATCTTAGACTACTTTTCTCAAGTGAGCTGTGACCTGTTGTGGTGATTTGAATGAGAATGTCCCCCATAGGCTCCAAATGTCTGAACACTTTCTCCTTGGTTGATGGTGCTGTTTACAGAGGTTTAGGATGTGTGGCCTTGCTAGAGGAAGCACATCACTGGGGGCAGGCTGAGAGCATGTGGCTCATCCCACTTCCGGTTTTGCTCTCTCTGCTTCCTGGGCCTGATGAAGATGTGAGCTCTCTGCTTTCTGCTCTTGTCACTTCTGCCACCATGCCTCCCCACCATGCCAGTCTCTTATCCTCTGGAACTGTAAGCCCAATAAACTTTTCTTTCTATAAGTGGACTTGGTCATGGTGTTTTATCACAGCAACAGAGAAGTAACTAATATGCCTGTCATCTAGGAGCAGGGAGGAGTTGGAGGGAGAGCATGGCAGGAGCTAGTGTTGAAGTGGGACGGCTACAACCCAGGCTGGCTCCCCATCCATATTTATCCCTATAGCTTAGACGGTACCAGGGACCGTATTCCCAGGAAAGTCCTTCGGCTTGGCTCTGCAGGCTCTGAGATGATGTCTAGCCTCACCAGCCACCTTTCCCTTGTCCCATGCTTTCCAACCTTTCAGCCACCCAAGATCTCTCATGGAGCACCTGCAATCCTCAGGCACATGGAGCTGAGAGAGCCATCCCTTCATGTGAGTCGCTCTGCTGTGCATGACCTGGGTGCACCACGAGGGTGAGAGTGGCTTTCATGTACCGCTCCCCAGCAAAGCAGGGCTACCCCTAGTAGATAAAGAGAAAAGCTCAGCACCTCTTTGGTTTCTTATTTTAATTCTTTATTGTATATGAATGGATGTACACAACATAGCATTACCAGCAGACTGTGAATACAGTTCAAAAGGAATAACACATATTGGGGTGAACACTAGAATATCACTGCTTTCTACTACAGGGTGCAAGCAAGCAGGTCTGAAAGGTGCTGCTGTGAAGGGATGGGGTCAGGTTTACAAAATGGTAAGGGAGCAGCAGGGTCTACAACACAGCACAGAGGGTCACAGCAGACACTACTGGGCTACTGCCATGTTAGGATGGAGGCCCTGGGCTGCTAGGCATTCTGACTTCTAAAGAGAATGAAGACATTTTTATTTTATGTGATATCTCCCAATTTCTAATATTGGCACCCAATCAAACAGAATAAAGAAGAAACATCAAGGGGGCCCAAGAAACCACAGGGCCAAGTGGCCTGGAGGTGGGCTCAGTCTGTGACCTCTGAAGCCATACTCTATCTCATTCCATTTCATCGGTGTCAGCACCCTGTGAAATTGGATGTACCTCACCTTTCTACTGATGAGGAAGTTGGGGCTCTTAAGATATCTGGAAGGAATCAAGGTCTGAGAGGCTCAGGTCCCAGCACCAGGAAATCCCACTGCTTATAAAATGCATCTTTTCTGTGGCTAACTCTGGGCAGGAAGGCTCACCTTAAACCAATGGAATCCTGGCTGCAATAAAGATAATGTATACCCCTCTTCCCCGCCATGTGCAGAAACGACCGACAGCCAGGGGACAATACTGGGCTGAGGGGTGAGGATAACTGTTACCGTTATTTTGGGGAACACCAAAAGGCAGGAGCCAGGCCAGACAGAGTAAGATATGGGTTACAGTGTCATGAGACACAACTGGCACAACAATGCAGAGGGAGAAGAAGATAGCTACTTGCAGGTCAAGCTCACATAGCCACACTAATATTTGTTGTATGTCTAGCGGCTAGTTAGGACATTTCACTGAATCTTCATGTTGGGAGTTGAGACTTAACATTCCCACTACACAAATGAGGAAACTGAGACACAAGGGAGTCACAAAATGGTAGGAATCTAAATCCAGGCATTCTGAAACCAGAGTCCAAGCTTAGCATCTCTGCACGGTCTCAGTGATGCTCCAGCGTCTTTAGGATGGGGCTCTGAGTCCTTCAAGCCCCTATGCTACCTGTCAGCACCTATGAATGGGGGAAGTCTAGAAAAAAGACTAAATCCAAGAAACGGTGTCCACAGGGCAGATCTCTGTCATTAGATGCAGCTGTTTCCTTTGTTAGCTCCTCCCTCTTCCTGTGTGCTTTTCATTTCTTTCCCCCATGGTAATAGGTGCTAACTGGCTTAACTGCTGGAGGCACAGTGAGAAGGCAGGATGGGCGTCTCAAACTCTGTTTCCTCAATGATAGAGTCTGCCCGAAGTCTCTGAGGTGGCTGATCAAGGGGAAAGTAGGTGAGGCTTGTCATAGGCGTAGCTCACTCCTGTTGCTGCCCTAGCTAGGGGGCTAAGGGGCTCCCATGATAAAATATGAGTGGTAATAACGTGTGTGTGTGTGTGTGTGGATGTGTGTATGTGTATGTGTGTGTATGTGTGTGTGTGTGTGTGTGGATGTGTGTATGTGTATGTGTGTGTATGTGTGTGTGTGTGTGTGTGTGTGTGTGTGTAATTCTAGTTTAATACCACAATCAGACTATAACACAAACATTTTTTCAACATTTCAACATCTGTGGGCTTTATCCTCTAGCTGTTTTGAACTGGGACGGAGGTTCTACCACCTACAGGCTGAGAGAAGTCTACACTGCCCTTGTCCAGGGTTTGGGGAGGAAAGCCAAGGGCATCTTTTCCCTCTCCACCTAAGACTTGTGCTCCCTCTAGGGTTTTGCTTCCAGAAGCTGACCTCTGAGCTCGGAAACCACGTCTGTGAGGTCGAAGGGCAGAGGCATGGAAGGGTCATCCTTCTCCCAGTATGGCCGACAATCTGGTTTCTGTTGCGCTGGTAAATTCCGGGCAATTCGGGACTGGCACCTATGAGAAAAAGTGCACGCAGTTAATCCACTGGGGCTCACTAAAATATCCAAGCTCATGGAAAACCTAGAGAACAACACTGGCACATGTTCCAGAAATAGGCCTCTGTGGTGAAGGTCAAGGTGATGGTGAGAGGAACGCATCTGCAAGGTGGAAAGCACATGTTTCTAAGAAGGAAAAATTGTTCCTTCGAGTGCTAGGGCTTCAAGTCCTTCCAATTCCCAGATCTGTATTATCTCAAGTGGCTTTGGAAAAGCCAATCACCAAGGAAATTGAGTTACTCTGCCTTTAAAATGGTGAATTATTTTTTCATTATCTCAACAGTTATTTAAAGTGTGTGATTAAGCCATTATCAGATTTAAATGTTTGTGGGATTTCGATGTATTACTAGATTACTGGGAAAGATTAAATTGAATTTACTGCATTAAAACGTCCAAGAATAGATTAAACAATATTACAGACCAGGATTGACTTTGGAGATCCTGGAGATTTACAAGTGTCCCAGCTTGCTGGGCTCAGAAAAAAGGCACTCCAAGGAGAAAGAGGTTTATAAGGATATATGCAAATAGAGGTTAATAATCATTTCCACTGATGAATAGGTGGGGAAACTTCCACAAAATTAAATTAAGAGGCTAGCAAGAGTTAGTCCCCAAGGAAAACACTTAAATCACGGTTTTTATTAAATGGATTATTCATCAATAGTAGAGAAATTAATTATCATATGCAGTGAAATTATAGTCTAGTAGGAAAAAAGTTGGGGCAACATCAGCACATCCTGGCAGTCACCACCCTCTCAGAGAGCTAAGCTCATTTAAAACTGGGCTGGGGAAGCTCTGTGGCTTGAGCTCTGGTTACCTGAAAAATGAGAGTCAGAGAAAAGGAAACAAATTGTAATAAATAATGAGCCATGTCTTGGTTTCTTCATTTCTGGTGGGCAGAACACATCCACCCAAACTAAAGACTGCCTGTTTTCAAGAGCTGTGTAGGTGTCCTACCTCTGCCAGTTAGAGTGGCCACTCACATTCCTGACTGTCTGATGGTGTGGGAGCCTCAGGAAAGACACTTTCTTCTCTGGGGGATTATTAATGTGAGGGGATTCCCAGGGGAAAGCATACTTCAACTTTACACCTATTTTCACATGTGGTTAATTGCTATACCGGCATCCCATGCACTCAATCCATCGTACATTACACGTAACATTCCAATATATCTTCTGCTCTCTGCATCAGACTCTGATAATAGCGTCTGTTAACATGCACTAAGTACTATTATGTAGCACATCACTTCATAAATAATAAGATTAGCTGACCTCAGGGCCCCAAGAAGAGTAATGTGTTTAAATGTTCTCATTATTTATTTAAAACAAGAACTAAAGCAACAGAAGCTGCTCCTGACAATCCTCTTAGCATAAATATTAAACTGTTTGCACTGATAAGCACACTCTGCACGGAGGGACAGAGGGCACACTCTGCACACTACTTCTTAATAGGTGCTGGAGACCATGCTGCTTGCCGTCACCCTTCTTAGGGTGCATCTCAGCAGTTCCTGTGACAGTCTCTAAATCACTTGAAAGGGACGAGGGGGAAATTAATATTCAAGGAAAGCTGCGACTAATTACAAAGGAACTCGGCAAAGCTTTTTAAATTGTGCTTTCTCTCTGCCTCAGAATCGCAGAGTAATGCTCAATTTGCTGGGTAGGGAAAGTTATTCCAAATTGAGCATTTCAATCTCACAGTGGATAAATTATCCGTGCACACATTATCCTGCTTGGCAGATTAAAGGGCCGTGATAAGTGTCGATCCACCTAGAATATCATAAGGTTTGTAAAAAGTCAATAGAGATGCTTTTTCAGCTGTCAAATGGGTTTTGCCTCCTCACTTGGAGAAAGTACTAAAAATATTAAAACCCAGAGCTGTGTGCATGCCGGATTGTACATGCTTCCAAGGCCATTGGCTGTGATTCCGGGCAAGCTGTTCCCAGTTTTCTGACATGTCTTTTCATCAAGGATGGCTGAGGCCCCACCCCATGTTACACAAACCTGGTAAGCTTATAGCTATATATACACATTCACTGACTCTGTATGGGTTGGGACAAGATCATTTATTGAGTTTCTTCAGGGCTTAATTCAGCTATTTAAGATTCCTATAAGATCCCCCAATGGCCAGTACTGTGTGCTAATTTCCAAATGCTAGTGAGAAGTAGTCTGAAGTAATTTTACCTGTGAGAAAGGACACCTGCCCCCGACTCCAGCGACACTGTCTGCTTCAGTGCTATGCCAGACTGGAAGGGGACCAAGAGGGGTAGGGTAGTAAATGACCCAAAGGCTTGCACCCTTTCAGCCATTATTTCTCTTGTTCAAATCGCTCTTCTGTCTGCTGAGTCTCAGTGTCCTAAGGAGGAGGGGCAGTAGGGAGATGGCAGCATCACGGGTCAGGGTGTGTTCTCTGGGCTCCTGCCTGTCTCTTGGGGATGACAGCCATAAAGATAATGACAATGGTCCAGTAGTTCCCGCTATCTAGGGCTTCATTTTTGGTTACCCATGGTCAACCATGGTCTGAAAATATTAAATGGAAAATTCCAGAAATAACTTGTAAGTTTTAAATTGTGCACCATTCTGAGCAGTGTGAAGGAATCTCGTGCCCCACCCAGGATGTGAGTCACCTGTCCCTTATAATTACATAAGCACGTTTTATGAGCTACCACATTATGATCTAGAATCACTGGGAGCAGAGCAGCCTCCTGACATACCCTCTGAAGGTAAACAGTGGCCTTGGACTGCATCACAAGTCCTATGCCACTGTCATCCACCTCAGTCACCTCCTCATTAGGCACTACCACCTCACATCATTACAGAAACCAAAAGTGCAACACAAGATGAGCTCACTCATCTAACTTTTATTAGAATGTATTGCTAAAATTGTTCTGTTTTATTAAGTACTGCTGTTCATCCCTTACTGTTCCTATCTTATAAATTAAATTATATCCTACATATGTGTGTATAGGACAAATTTATTATTATTATTATTATTATTATTATTATTTTCCATAATTTCAAGCATGCTGTGGGAGTCAGGCTGGGGAAGGTAGGTATTGTAGCAATAATAATATTTTACTTAGGGTTTGTTGGGAAGATGAAATGAGTGAATACAGATGGTGTTTGGAACCCTGCCCAGCACACAGCTCGCTCAGTAACTATTAGATATCACGACCATCATTACTTCTACCATGCATGCCAGTGACAGGTGAGAGATGCCACCAGAGTCCTGCCTGTCCTGCTGTGGCTGTCTCTTTCTTCCACAGCACCTAGATTGGTGCCTCTAGTCTGGCTCTTTCTAGCAGAAGTTCTGGAGGCCCTGGCACACCTTTCTGCCTTGAATCAAACTAAGCCCACAGCAGAATGCCATCACAGTAGGCAGCCCAGGACACAGAGGCCTACCCAGTCAAGCTGCTGTGACTTCACAGTGACAGGCTCTAGCACTCAGACTTAGCACAGCCCATGATCCCAGCCACCGGGAATGGCTGGGGAACACATGACTCAATCCAGAGCAAAATCAAGACTCCACCTGAAGTCTGGTATGGGAGCTGAGAGAAGAGACTTTCTTCTTCTTGGTCTATGAAACCTCAACCTTCCACAGTCATTTTGTGCCATCAGGGGCAGGGTGCTAAACAATACTGTCAGCTGGACAAGGCTCACCTGAGCTAATTCTTTGCAGACTTCACTTTCTCAAGCCTTTATTGTCTAAGGGTTTTCTGTACCTGCAACCCAAGGAATCCTAGTTGATGACACTAGTCCACCCTTCCTACCTTTCACAACATTCATTACCATGGTCCTGCCACGTGTCCCACCTGATCCCATGTGTTGCTGCTGATACCATGTAGTGTAGGCAAAAAACTGTCTCAGTTGTCCTCTCTACTCTTTCTTCCCCTTTGGTTTCTAGGGTTAGTAAGTAAATTTGAGTCTACTGCCCCTTTCTTGAAGCACTTCAAGGGAGCATTTCATCCATACATCATCCCTTTGCTTCCCCAATTCACCTGGCTGCAATTCAAAGAACTCAATAAGTTGCCTTCAAAGCTCTTTGCTGCTCAGGAATGGTTCTCCCTGACTGACCCAGCAAGAGAACAAGAAGCAATGAAAAGGTGTCCCACTGGCTGGTCTGTCAGCAGATGGTCCAGAGGTCCTGTGGGTCCCACCCTGAGGTGTAACTCATATGGGGCCTCGATGATTTCCCCCAGGGCTTCACTTACTTCTAGGTGATCAAGATGGCAGCTACATTAGTGAGCGCTGGCCGCCATGTTAAAATTAACCACTTTAGCTAAAGTGTGTGTTAATTATGGGTATGCAAGCAGTCAATAAAGGTTAATGCAAAAGTCAAGGGATAAATTTTTTCCCTTATTGCATCACTTCACAGACTAAATGACTAACATTATACTTTGTGTTTTTAATCAATAGGTTTTACAGTAATGTGCTGGCCATTGATTTTAAGAAAACACATATGGTCTTCTTCCTTGTCGCTAAATTTTGCAACAAATAAAGGAGGACAGGTAACATTTCCATTATTCTTGAGGCAATGATAAAGATTTCAGGAGAGATGGTTTCTGCTAATAGACTCATCATGATAGACAAGCTAAACACACACAAACTTCATAGAGAAATATTACCAAGCACATGCAAAGAAGAGAGAAGAAAAAAGAAGCACTAAATGAGTTCTTTACTGGGAAAGAGGAACATGAGTCCCGAGGAAAAGAACAACCACATCTTGTTTGTTGCTTAAATGACCAACACTTGGTACTGTTTTATTTTCCTCTCTTGGGAAGCCAGGGGACGGCAGGGGACTGGCATCTTGGTTCCCAATTGCATGAGGCCTTTCTTAGGCAAGGCCGACCCAAAGCAGGAAGGAAGCGGGTGGGTCCAGACACCTGCACAAAAGCTGGGTGCTTTTTCTATTACACTCTTTTTTCATGAATTTCCATGTGGACCAAAATGGATCCTGTCCACTGAC